CATTTGTTCAATTTTGAATAATTTGGGGTATTTTTATTCTGCACCCATGCTCGGATACTTGATTAACTCACTCACTTAATGAAGTGTTCATAGCCTCAAATGCTTCATCATTAATGAGGAGTTTTTTCTCTCTTCAGCCTCCTCCCACACACATTCAAGCGCCTCCACCTTCAGCCACCACAGCTGGAGCCGTCGTTCCCGCTGGTCCCATGATGCCGTACAACTACAACGTCTACGAGCCCGTTCAGCCTCACTGGTTCTACTGCAAGCAAGTGGAGTCAAAGTGTGTGTGGCTCCCTTTCAGTATCATTGACTCTCTTCAGCTAGAGGAGACTTATAACTCAGGTACGATATCACACACATTCGTTTTTATCCCGAGAAATCAGAATCTTCACTAATGTTTTCGTTTTTGTTCTTCCAGTTCAACCAGACCCAGAAAATGTGATCGTACGTACAGACGGAGGGCGCTACGACGTGCAGCTCTACGACCGCGTACGGACTGCGGTGTACTGGGAGGAGGATCCTACGGAGGTCCGGCGCTGCTCGTGGTTCTACAAAGGGGATACGGATAGTCGCTTTATTCCTTACTCGGAGGACTTTAGTGACAAACTGGAGGTTTGCCTCACTCCTAAACATTTCCTCTTCCATTCATCCAGTTCTGCCTCGACTCTAATCTTTAATCACTTGTGTCTTTAACTTCAGGCAGAATATAAGAAAGCCGTGTCCACCAACCAGTGGCACCGTCGGCTCGAGTTCCCATCAGGGGAGACCATTGTCATGCACAATCCAAAGGTAAACCCTCATGTGATTAGTGTTAAGAGGCGGGCTGATGATTAATCCTGTTAGTTTGATTCAACGCGTTCTGTTTGCCTCTGCAGGTGATCGTCCAGTTTCAGCCCTCCTCCATTCCCGATGAGTGGGGCACGACTCAGGACGGGCAGACCAGACCGAGAGTGGTGAAGAGAGGGATTGACGATGACCACGATGAAGTGCCCGATGGTACTCAAGTTAACTTAATCCCAGCGTAGGCGCTTACACTGTGGCTCCACTGTGTAAACGGAAATAAACCTTAAGCTCATTGATCCGACCAGAAAGCTCAAATAGTTCCACAGTATTTTTAGGACACTATAAAGTGAAATGAGTCATTAATTTTAGAGAGACTTTAGAGGGAGTGGCAGCCATCAGGATCTGTTTTTATGAGGGGGAATAAAGTCCAGACCAGGTAGTAAATGTAATGCAGCTTAATTATAATTTAACACAGTTCAGATTGAAGGTGCGTGTTAAGATGTAAAGAATAATGTAGGCCGGTTGGGGTCGTCAAAACTTAAAAAATATACACACATATTACATAAAACTTAAATGGAGTTGTTGTTTTTACAGTTTAGATTATTATTTGAGATCTAAACTCTGTGAAGTTATATTCACAGCGTCTTCACCCTCTGATAAACAACCTCGTC